TGTTAACCAATAACAGTTATTTGATATGTTTTTCATTTCGCCCATTGAAAATTGTTGAAAATCATCTCCTAAATTTGTTCATACAAAAGTAGTCTCTAAACATTGGAAATAAGGTCTATAATGTAGTTAGTGGGGAGCAGTCACTGGTGACCGCTTGTAGTTAGAGAGATGACGACCAAAATTTTTGTCTCATAGCAATACGGCCAAAACCGCCTCAAATCGATAGATACGATTATTCTGAACTCGAAAATACCAATATCAGACATTTTCCGCGTAGCGTTTGATCTGACCACAAAATAACCAGACAAATAAAATGTCTCATAGCAATACGTCTGAAAACCTTTTTTATTAGTAAATTTTGGTTATTTGATGCGAACAAAACAATTTTCAGATGGAAATGTGAACGCATTAAATATTGAGACCGTTTTGAAAATGTTAACAAATTTTACCGATCGGTATCAGGGCAATATGTCTGAAAATTGTTGGACATGATAAAATAAGTTGTCCACATGTGCAAAAAATGTATATCAGACAAAATAAGTGTAGCACCTTCTCTATCAGACAACTTTTCGATACTCAGATATTTTTGACACAGCAGAAATGGCCTCCCACGCAGTTGCTACACTTTCAACCGTTACTACACACCTAGTCGGGTTCATAATCATACAATCTAACGATTTTATAGGGTTTTTGCCGTATTGCTATGATACATGGCTTTGGTCGTCATCTCTCGTACTATGGGGATATATGGGTTAAACAACGTTATTATCATCATTGTCTCAATTCCAACCACCACTCGCCATTAATATAATTCATCTTCAATTTCCAGGTCAATGGAGGACTCTCCGCAAAGATGCTATACCGTCACAGAACCTGCCATCAGATGCACCGGCTCCATACACAAGAAGACAGACCGGTTCCTGGGCACCCAACAGTGTCCCTGCAATAGATCCACAGGTAATTTCACTATAGAACAGAATAAACTTTATTGTACACCGTTAATAATATTGTACATACATAAACATTCAACAGGTCAACTGAGGACCACCATAATTTTTTGAAGGCAGTTACAAAATAACATTAGTTCGCAATGGATTCATAATAGGACGGAACTGTTAGTCGGCTCATACAACAATATTAACTTATTTTCTGTCGATATATGAGGCACAATAGAAAACACAGAAACAAACATTGTAAGTGTGTGAGAGCCATGCTTCGGCACGAATGGGCCGGCTCGACCGGAGTGATACCACGGCCGAGCAGAAAACCGACGTGAAGCAACGCTTGCGTTTTGTGAGTGAGTTTACTGGAGGCCCAATTACTCCCCTCCCCGTCCCTAATCTCTCCAATCCCTGAACGATCCTCAATCTTCTCACTTATAACGCCTCTGGTGTTCCAGGTGTCCATGGGCGGCGCCGATTGCTTATTACCCTCAGGTTATCCGTCAGATCGTTTATCGGCTTATGCCATAAAAAATTGTGTCTCGCATAGATCTGCGTTGTGACAGTTCACAGGTTAATGGCGATGACAAATAATATTAATGACTGTTTATTTTAATTACAGATCCACCAGCAGGCGCAACAGCTGGCTCAAGCTATATATGTCCAGACCATGCTAGCCATGCAAGCTGTCAGCGTCCAGGATGCCATGGCTAATGGATTTTCTAACGGTAATACATATAATTAACTAATCATAACATCACGCATCTTATCCCCGAAAGGGCACATTACGGCTCTTAATGCCACTGTATAATGTAACACCCACTTTTCACTATTTATGTTATGAATCCCATGTAATAGGGGGTGAGTCTATTGCCATATACCGGACACGATTCCCAGTATATGCCATGTGTGCCCGGTATATGGCAAATATGGCAATAGACTCACCAACCGACTCACTTACATACAGTTGCATAATGTGCACCTCTGCCTACCCCATCGGGGATAAAAAGCGTGATGTTATGTTTACAAAAATAAATAATAATTCATTATTTCAGAACCAGTTCCTGAGATTAGCATGGTCAAATAGATTCTTCAGCTTGATAATATTAGTATAATTCTCGTTTTGTTTTTTTTTTTTTGTTATTTCTTCTATTTTCGTTTTTTCTTCTTCTCCTCTTATAATATCTTCTGATTCATTTCGTTGCGGGAACCAAGACAGTTACTCATGTCCCTGGGACGCGCCGGACTTCAATGTTCCGGTGTTTTCATGGTTGTATCTACTGTAGATCCTGGCTTACAGGAGTTGCAGCAGTTTTGGGAGGTTGTGGCGGGCATGTCCCATTAAAAAAAAAAAATAATTCTCGTTTACAGGTCCACCACCATTCCCCCAGCCGTACCATTCAAATGCTACGATATCACCCACACAAAAAGAACCAGATCTACAACCACCTACCCAAGCACCGAACCCTCTCAGAACAGACTTTGATCACACTTCATACAAATGTACTGATTGCTCCAAATGGTTTAAAGATCCAGATGTCTTCTTACTTCATAAAAGGACCCATAAGAACGCCCAATCAACGAACGGTAAGGAGAATTTAGATCTGAACTCTATAAAACCAGAGATGTTGAAAGCGAATCCGATTTTAGCGAATCTACTAAAGAATTCAGTAGATAAAGACATTTTTACGGCTAATATTTTAGAAAAAGAGCTCATGGTTAGTTTTTCGAGTATGCAGAATTATTTTAAGAGTGTTGCGAATAAGTTTAATTGTGATAGTGCGTCTTTAGATACTAGTAATCTTGTTATAGATGAAAATATCGCTTAAGCTATTCAAATTCTGCTGGGAAGTTCTTTTAGACTCTAAAAAATGTCGCGGAGAACCTAACGGGTTACCGGGGCTCCGGCTCGACGTGCAGGAGAAGGAACGGGGTGGTTTTTAGTCAGTAAGAGTCTGACCCTCCCGCCTCACCCAGGCGGGAGCAGTCATTCGATGATTTTCCCCCTTAAAAAAAACTTTAAAAAGTGTTTTACAAGGTTACTCGACTGGTTTCGACCTTAGCCGGGGTCTATAGTTTTAAAACGGAGATTGTTATATAACAACTTTTCACCAATTATGTTCTAGGTTTAAACGTTTTAAAACTTGTATGCTATTATTGAAAATTTTGATTATCGAACACACAATAAAATTTTACTCAATCTCAGTATCGAGGCTTGGATCTAAGCTTGACAGTCATTCTTGTTGACTAAAAGTCGAAATTTCGATCTCGAAATTTTCTTTTTTTAGCATAAGTACTGTAATACAATGAAAATTATAGGTCGTCTATGACAGGGCTGTCCAAACTATGTACCCTCGCGGGATAATTACATTTCTTACAAAAGCTGAAGGCCAGAAAAATATTTTCAGTTTATATAATGACGTTTAACATTGTATTCTTTACTCACAGACTGAACTTGTAGACAAATCATACACATGACTATTATTATTGTTGCGCATAAGATGAAGATGTTGAGATTAAAATGATTGTCGCGGGCCACAGGAAAACAAGCCGCACGCAGTCCGCCTCTGTTTGGACAGCCCTGGTCTATGACACGGGACTCATAACTGATGAAAAGTGGTTTTTAAATTATATATGTGCAGCTCTGTCCATCCCATACCCGTACTACGTATTCGTACTCCTTATGGCAAGTTGTTTTGCCGCAAGACGCAAACGAAATAGATTTTACAGTGTATTGTTCAAATCAACATACACCTAAATAGGGTAGTTACCTAAATTTTATTTCAATGTCCGTCTGGTAGATTATTTTAAAAACATTAGACACGTATTTTTTATTTTCTCACAAAATTAAATACTTTCGACGATATATTGATTTGAAATGTCGTGTGACGTCACAGCGTGCTACAAAATGTAGCACATTGACTCCTAAACTTAACTCCATTTTATCTAAGTATTGTACTTTTACACTAGTTAATAAAAAATACGTGTCTAATATTTTTTCATTATCTAACTGACGGACTAATTACATTTTTAATTTTCATACCCTGGAAACTACCCTATCCAATTACGTACAACAAAAGAAATTTCCAGCAGAACTACAGTATAGTAAGACTGTACCTTTTATAATAATAATAATTATTACACTTTTAAAATGGCAGATTTTTTATCTAGACAATGTTTTTTGTACTGTTTTTAACGAGCACTTCGAATCTTGAATACAGTAAAACGGGGTGAATAGAATTCGAGGAGTGAATAGATGCAGGAGTGGGGTGAATAAATGTTGGGAAAATAGTCTAACACTTATTCACCCCATTCCTGTATCTATTCACCCCGTTTTACGGTATTATCATCTTGTACGGCAGCCTTTTAAATCTAAACTATGTTAAAAACAGCGTAATTAATATTGTCTTGTACCAATGTAAAGTATTTCTTACATCTGAATATTAATACATAACAATTTTAATCTGTTGTTCAATTAAAAATGTTCACTTGTAAACAGCAGCTCATGTAGTGTAGATGTCCAGTCAACAAGGATGTAGCGAGGTTGACTGTCCAGGCGACACACGTACTTAGGTATCGTCATGAGCTAATGTTCACATGTAAACAACAGCTCATGTAGCTTAAACAAGGTTATTTTTCCAGGCGATATACTTAGGTATCATCCTAATTTATTCTCTTTACCAATTATTATACTTATTTTCTAGGTTTTCGTCAACAAAGCCTAAATACAACAGCGATACCCAGCACTTAAATGCTAGCATCGGCACTGTAAATACTAGAACAACCTACTATCGAAGATATAACGTCAAAACTTGACTAATTTTTTAAAATATCAAAAGAAAATAGGTTTATATGATAATAAAAAATGCCTGGAAATACATATATGTGAAATATCCGCCTATATATAGATAACAGATTAAGATTTTTGTTAATAAACTTACAGCCGAAATTAATACATTGAAAATTTTCGAAATTTCGACTCTAAAACTATTTAATTACTATCAAAGATTTTAGATTAATTTCGGTTGTGTATCTGCCATTATAAATTGTATATATCCCACCTCTAGTTTAACATACAAGGTGTTGTTTTAAAGCCGCGTCATTTTCTAGGAAGTAACTCGGCTATAGATTCTGAGTCCGAATCAATAAAAAAATTGTAGGTAAATATTTTTAATTTTTCTGTAAATTACGGAAATCCGTAAGTCCGAACTACACGCCGCCGTCTTGTAACTAGCTTTATAACGCGACTTAACACACACAAACTCAAACACGTAATTGATATTATTCGTAATTCCATAAAACCAATAAGAAACATTGCTGTCGCTTATTCTGAAATACTGTCGAACTTAAACGATTTATTATAGCCGTATTTTTAACTATTGGCCCGAAACTTTCTCTTACATTGAACCTTTATGACTTCTGTGACATGCCCCCGAGAAATGACACGGTTTCAAAACTACACCTTGTATTATAAAGTATTGTATATTTTTGTACCGATTCACATAATCTTTACATAGTATTTGTATGTAGAAGAGTTTTTATAAGTCCCATGTTGAAATTACTATTAATGTAATGCAATTAGCTTTATTCTCGTAACACAGCTGATGATGAGTGAGTGTTACATTTCATATGTAGAACTATACCCATACTTTTAAATATAAGGGACAAAAACATCATGTACGTATCTTCTATAACATTATTAACAGTATTATTTTAGACACTACAGGAATTTATGCGATTTAAACAAGTACCGTGTGTTCGGTATCGGATTTTCGATACATTACCTATGTGGTCTATGTTACATTTTCCCAAACCTCTCTAATTACGAGTCGTTTAGTAAATTCTATTTGTTGTTTTTTAATTTATTTTATAAAGTCTCTACTCTCTAAATAATAATGTTATTTTTTATTAATGAAAATGGTTATTCTTTTATTTAGGTAATATTAAATTAGAAAAAAATACCTAAATAATAAATTTAGTCGAAACGCTTAATTTATTCTGTTCATTATTGTTAAATTTATCGAAAGATGCGAGCCACCTTTATGGTTTATTGAAATTGAAAGTAAGTATCGAAAATTCGATACATAGTCACACACTTTTTGAAAAAAAAAATGCAACGCGAATTTTTTAAAGAAAATACATTACTACAGTATGATTATGTATGTGAAAAGAAAATCATGCAAACACATACAAAAACGAATTTAAAAAAGACTGTTGACCACCGATTTTGTAATGGCGATACCATTTTTTTGGTATGTTCCAATTTTTTTACCTAAATTATAATTAGGATCTAGTGTTTAGTTGATATATTAGTGCCTTAGCGTAGGTTTATCTCTTTTATAAGTATAATCTAAAAATTAATTACGGTAATAGTCTTTTGTATAAAAAAAAAGTAATATTTTTTTAATATTTTCCGCGGATTTTGGAAGATTTTTACAATCGATCTGGAGTTAATAATGAAAGTATCAAGATTTTTGTTCGGGGAATCCCCTTTTTATGTTTATGGCGAAATACGGGATTTCGTTTTCGAAACAATAGATTCGTACGGTTTTGTTGATTTTGTCAAAAATGTTATTATCATTTGTTATGATTCGTTCGCATTTTTTACGATATTTCGAGCACTCTCAAATTGCAGTACATATTTATATTTAATGTCGTCCATGCTAAAATTTTTAAAAAGTAATAATTTTTTCGCAGTTTATAATATTTATTATTGATTTATGATTCAATATTCTTACATATACCTTTGTTATTGCTAAAAAAATATTCTTGAATGCCATTAGGTATATTTTAATTCTCCAATAGGCCGGTAACGCACTTGTAACGCCTCTGGTGTTCCAGGTGTCCATGGGCGACACCGATTGCTTACCATCAGGTGATCCATCTGCCCGTTTACCGGCTTATGTCATAAAAAGATCTATGTACAGTATCGGAAGATATTTATGTTAACTTAAGTACAAATCTATTGTTTCCTTACCATACAATATACTATCATTGTTTTTTATAAAGGGATAAGCAGAATTGATATAATTATGAAGAAAAATTGGTGTACGATACTTTTTGTATTATTTTGAAAATAATGTTTTTGTGAAGGTATTATTATGGTAGAAAGGAAGAGTGTGTTATGGTACATTTTATATACGGAGTCGCGGAGAACCTAACGGGTAACCGGGGCTCCGACTCGACGTGCAGGAGAAGGAACGGGGTGGTTTTTAGTCAATAAGAGTCTGACACTCCCTCCCGCCTCACCCAGGCGGGAGCAGTCATTCGATGACTTTTCCCCTCTTTAAAAAAAAGGTATATTTTATACACAAATTATAAGACTGC